AGAGAGAGAGAGAGAGAGAGAGAGAGAGAGAGAGAGAGAGAGAGAGAGAGAGAGAGAGAGAAAGCTTATTTTATATGTGGAGGATGTGCCAGAAGCGCGGATGATGTCGCAAGGAGAGATATTCCGTTGAATATTATATTGATATTTTAATCTGGGAATTCACACAACATTACCGTTTCGTATAAATGTTGAAATAATATTTAGTTATCGCTCTCCGCCGATGCTCACGTCCTTAGTTGTTTGTCAGACGTTATTAAAATATCGCTAAATGCAGCGCGCATATTTAATCTGGGAGTGGGCGCGTATCGGTCATTTCCCCGTACTTTTTCGTTTTCTATTTATATCATCTAATCTATTGACATTATCGTATTTTCGCTTTTACGTAAATTTTCTTGGATGTTTTCTCGTATAGCATGGAGAAGTAGACGGTGAAAACGCGCTTATTTCTATGTGAAATTTAATACATTTTTAGCAGTCGGTCTAAAAGACCAAAAGCGCGCCTACTAACGTTAGTCTTTACCGCATCAACGTCGCTCGATGTGCCGCCGAACGTCTATTGTCTTTCCGACATTGTAGTTGGACGGACGGTTCTCTCTTTTTTTTGTTGAATCAGAATTTTCAATAGCACGCGTAATTAGAGTATATTCTTGACTCAATAGCGATATTATTAAAATTAATACTTGAATTATTGAAATGATACATAATGTGATAATTTTAATATTGCCATTATATAAATCAAGAAGATTTATTCTCTATTTTTAAATTTATCAAATAAATTTTTAAGTTTGTTAAATCAATGTTTAAGTTAATCAAAGTAAAATGAGAGAAGCAAGAAATTCTTATTTTATTTATTTATCTTTAATTTTTATTTTATTTTATTAAACTAAAAGAATGTCATTTTTTACTAATGGAGTTAAAAATATTATTTTATTTTTAATATATTCACATAGGTATAATAAGTTTAATATGTTTCTTAAACATATTAGATATTGAAATGGTAAGGAGAAAAAAGATGGGGAAAAGAAGAAATAGTGATATCATAAAATTATTTCCTTTAATTATTATGTTTTTTTTAATAATTGGATTAGTAATTTATTAATTAATTATTGGTAATTACTTAATTATTACACATATATATGCTTAAATATATTTCGGTCGAAATAACCGATACGTGCCCACTAACGTTGGTCCCGTTTACGCATTCATGATTATTAACACACTCCCGAGTTAATAATCGCATTGTCTGGTTGTTTGACTTCATAAGACTTTTGTTCTAGTGGCTAACCGCGTGTCGATAAAATGTCACGCACTGCAAGACATGATAATACACGCGAGATCACGTGAATCCTCCTTATAATTCGATGAAGCCAAAGTTCGAGTTACGAGCTAAGTAATAATAAATACACTGAAATTCCAAGCCGATTTGCGCGATCGAGCCGACCGGACCCGACGTTCTTTCGGAGAGAAATATTTTTTCCGCTGCAATCTCATAAAGAAACTTCTAGAACAACGGAAACTGTAGAAACTGCGGTTATCATCTAACCGCAATATTCACGAGTGTTGGCAGCAAAATGTGGAGTGAAGAAGAAGTAAATCATTAATCGCGCACGAATCAATTCCGCGATGTGCGAGAGAATAATTTCGCGACTCTGTGGGGATCCTTTTAGGACATAAAGTTCCGGTGAAGTCAAACATCTGTTCGACCGCTCTCCCGGCCGACTGCGCTGCTAATGTTAAAGTAAAGAACGGTGCACTTTCGTACGATGCGTACTACGGCGTGAACTTGGAAGCGTGGTGAATAAACCATTTGTGTGCCCGAACGATTCCTGCCGCTTTTCACTCGTGGATCGCTTCTTTCTTGCTCTAAGACTCAATTGCACCAGTCGAATTGATAAGCTAACTGATATAGTTGAGTCGCACATTTGTCTTTGTTTTTCCTTCAAAATAAACGAAGACGGACGTACGGTCCAACTATTAAGCCGGCTCTATAATATGTCGTATGTCAGAGTCGGACGCAATCGATGGTTCAATGAAAGAGTTTATTTTCTGTAAACGAGTTCTCTTCACTGGACCATCGGCTACGTACCGACTCCGACAAACGACGTATTGTAGAACCGGTCTTGGTTGGCTTACCATTCGGTGCAACTAGGCCTAAGGCAAAATTTACACTTTGGCAGGAAACAGAAAAGCAGAAGCCAATTCGTACTGGTAGAAAACTGTCGACAGAAACTGTCGACTACTACCTGACCAGCGCGAGTTCTGATTGGCTGCTGCCTTTCTATTCTTCTCTGCTTTTCTACTGCTATTTCTTTCTCTGCTTTTTCAAGGTGTGCATTCTCCCTAAGATTTGTGTATCCTCGCTGCAGCCATCTTGATTAATGATGTCAGAAGCGAGGGGAAACGTATGTCCAAAATTCTTTTGCGGAATACGTTGAAATAAGAGGCTATGTCCATAAAATGGTGTTCGTAATTGATTGAGCACATTTGTAAAATATTCCTCTCCTTTTACTCTAACAACCAATAAATAGCCGTAAAATTAACGTGATAAAGTCATAACTAGACTAGAGTCGCGTGTTACGTTAATTTTACAGTTATTTATTGATTGTTGACATGAAAGTTTGCGGAACATCTCGAAAATGTGCTCAATCGATCCCAAGGATCACTTTATGGATTATCCCTTTTATTTCAGCGTATATTTCGCGAGAATTTTGAGTATGCGTTTTCTCGTTTCTGATGTCATCAATCGAAAGATTCGCGGTGAGGAACCAGGAGTCTCAATGGGGCGTCACGCGCGTTAAAGCATAGTTCTGAGTAAAGTAGTCTCTCTCTCTCTCGTCAGAGGGTTGTCACGCGGTACCACGCCTTGTGGCGAACGCTAAAAGTCCCTCGTTTCTTCTTCTTCTTTCTGTCTTCCTCTCTGTCTTGTTCTCTCTTTTGCATGTAACACGGAATGAAATATTGGCGGAAGCGCGCTCGCGTGAGGCTCCCGATTCCAGAGCCAGTCGCGGGGGGATAAGTCGCTTAAGTATTTCGCCGCGAAAGGTCGAGGCACCGGCGCAAATTAGACATATCTTAGGCGCGACATTAATTGATTGTCGGACTAATCCGCCTCCTCCATCCAGGATGACAATCTGTTCGCATAACACCCGCCAATCTTTTGAACGATGTTTTGTTTGTCAAGTACCGCTTGTACCTTATTTCGCTCGAGGCCATCGCTAGGGTTGGGCCGCTAGGGTTGGGCCGCCAGGGTCGTATTTATGTAGAAACTAAAGCAAAATTGACCCCCGCGTGTCAAGAGCTTTCACCTTTTACGTAAACTACAAGACTGTTTGTGATTTG